GTCAAATCTCCTCCGAGTAGAACGAAAACGCCAAAAGAAACCACAGTCACAACTACCGGGATGCTATTCAGTATAAAACTATTAAACTGCAAGAGGAATAAATTGTTAAAAGTGGAAGATAGGTAAATCTGACTTTACCTAGAGTAATTAAGTCATATACAAAACTAAATGCATATAACAATGTGACAGGCAATACAAATTGAAAGATAAGGAGTCATACAGCTGATAGTAACTGTGCTTTACGAAACCATGAGAGCTCTTCATTTCTAATTCCTTGAATCCGGGACTCGAAGCTCTTCTCCCATGCGTAGCATCTAACAACGTTAGAAAATTCCAAAAAAGTTATAGAATAACTGCTTTAAGAATGTGCCATTCAGAAAAGCTGAAAAATGAATACTAAAAAAATATCAATCATACTTTACAGTATCCATGGATGACAATATCTCATTCGTGATACCGACTCTTTTGTCAGTCCACTGGAGTCCTTCTTTAGTCAATTTCCGCATTTTGCTTATAATCAGAGTCTGAATTTCAAGAAACATATGCATTTACAACAACTTATACAATTTTAAAATAGATAAAACAACAGAACTAATAAAGCTAAATACCTGGAGAGGAATCAGTAGAAACAGAATCAATGAACCAAAAAGCGAAGCAACTCCTAGTTGTTGATAGAGAAGAATCATAGACACAATGATGCGGAAGGGAGCTGACCATAAGCCATGGAGCTGTTGTGATATTTGCTGTAAAAATAAGGAGACTATGTTAACAGTTACAAATCCACAGTTATGCAAAAGTAGTTTAACTGAACCTAAGTATACCTGAAGTGCATTAGCATCTGTAGTTATCATGTTTGTTACTTTCCCAGAAGCAAAATTCTTGCGAGCTTCATGAGTTAGTCTTAGCGATTTGTGGAATATAGCTGCAACCTACAAGGAAATTAGTATACTTAGTTGGAGAATAAAAATGACTAAATGATTATACAAGTCGGAGAGAAATGCAAGTTTCACAAAATTTTACCAGAGTTGATCTCAACCGAAATCCCACCCGCCAAACATTCTGAAAGTACTGGGCTTCGCAAAGCACTCCAAGTGTCTGTAGCAATATCGAAATAGAATAACTTTTCAATGGTTTTGACAAGAAAATCAACAATATGAGAAGTAAAATGATGAGAAAAATATACATGATACTATGATAGTTAGAGCAGAGACGAATTTTGTGATACATACCACCCCAACGAATATAATGAAAGCATAGACATAGCCAACCCAAGCTGGATCACCTTCTTGCATTGACTACATAACATGGTCAAAGATTTGTTTAAGTTAGATTCAATAAACCAGAGTAGCACGGGCTCAGGTGAGAGAGATCATGGGCCATAAAAATGTAGATGCAACAAAAAAACCAAAGTAGATGCAACAAAATGCTCATAAATTAACAGTCATTTAAAATGTGAGATAAGAATCACTCCTGTATGAGAAATATAAGTCACTGCATTGTTTCTCAATTTTAAAAGCTATATGTATATATAAAACCTCAAAAAATGATGTGTAATGACCGTTGAGTACGTGTGAAACATAAGTCACAGGCCAAAAACAACTTATGCAATATATTTTTTGGTAAGGAGTGAGCAGAAAGAGAGCTTACCCGCAATAGATGGCTCAGTATAACCGGTCCAACAAATTGAGAAAGATCATTTCCAATCTACAACACGCTAAAACATTATGTATAAATTGCTTGAGAGTTTTCAAATACAGAACTGAACATTACTGTGAATGCAGGTCAGACCTAATGCATGGAAAAATAACAATCAAGAGACTTTTTGGGATCTATTTTAACCAACCGAGAGGAACACGAGTTACCTTGAAAATACCACCCAACCAGAATCTACAAAGACAGAAAAGAGAAAAATTAATGCCACTATCTATATTGTCTGGCTTTAAAGAAAACTAGTACAGTGGAAAAGACAATTGTAGTCAAAAACATCAGCTTTTACCTTCCACCAAGGCTATTATTTAGTGCTCGGAGAAGCCACGGCTTAGGTCTCCGTGATTCTTCAGTCCAACATCTTTGGAATCTGTCAAATAACTTATCCACTGAATAAGAGAATGTTCTTGATTCTAAACAAAACCTTCACCACAAAAAAAGAAGGCAAAGCAACGTAACAGTACTTCTGTACCTTTTGAATAGAGTTTCTGTCTGGTCCCATTTGTCTAATTGCCAAACATCCTTCTCTGTTATGGGTTTTCTGTAGCCTAACTGCATAAGCGGCGTGATCCAACCAAAGTATATTCCTAAGACAAGAAATCCAAATCAGAGGAATAATAAGAAATCATGGAGCTAATATACTCTTCAGTCTTCATGGCTATTATATATATCGCCAAACAAGTATTGTTTGCCAATAGACTGAGCATTCAATAAATTTAGTTTATCAATTCAGGGGATACCTACTGGAAAATATGCTGGCATGTCGCTCGGGACATATGTGCTCTCCCCCTCGAAGTGCATCATATTCAACATTTTCTGACGGTTCATCGTTTACAATATGGTAACCCGGATAAGGGTCCAGTTCCGGAATGTAAATAAGAAGAAGAATTCCAAAAAGAGCCTGCAACAGAAAACAAATGAAATACTTAAGCAGTGAGGCCTGTAAGTTTGAAGCTTTGGGATGCAAGTTCTCAGAACAATAAATTGCAAGCTTATACAGAGAACAATAAATTGCATGCTTTTGACATTGTTCTAACAAACCTGGGAACATCTTGAACTGATAAAGAGATATAGGGCAGTTCTGCAATAGCAAATAGAGGAAAACTAAGTATTAACTTCACAGCAAAAGCTACCAATGCCCAAAACTTTTTCCCTTGTCAAAATATGTTGGAAATATAATCAGACTCCTGAGATTTAATGTCGAATAACACACCTATTGATTGAGTTCTTGAAAGGCAACACAAGATCCAGCAGCACAGCATCAGCAACCAAAACATATAAAACACCAAATCTCACATACCATCTGAACTCTTTGACATATTGTTTGGTTTCGAGTCCGATCAAAACAAGCATGGAGAACCAAGAGAATGCCTCAACCATTAAAGATGAAACCTGCCAACGAATAACACCATAATCGCACTTTATTTCTGATCTTGAGCTTTCAGTTCAATGAGAAGGGCATGTGAGTTTAATCTCCACACGACCATATGATTAAGAATCAGAGTTACTATTCCGAAATCACCTCAAAGGGAGGAAGATCAGTGTCTTCATCCATGTCAAAGAGTGAAATCCCCATGACCAATCTCAGAACAGGCTCAACAACACAGTAACAAGCCAATATCCCTAGCACACAGTTATAATACTTCTTCCTCAAAACATAAATCTGAGCTTTGGTATTGTGGAAGATGATCCATATCCGGTAGGAACACAAAGCCAGAAGCACAAAGTGAGAAACAAGAATCACTAGTGAGTCAATGGCACACGGCGTATAGGCTCCAAACGCACCATCCACTGATTTTTCCCAAAATCCTTCTGCAATTGGCTTGCAATACCAATTTAAAGCTTCAAAACCCATCTCTTTTTCACTCAAACCTTGATTTCCCAAACTGAAAAAAGCAACAAAGAAGCATTTGCTTAATAATACTAGTGAAAAGGCTATGCAACACACATGTTCATGCCCAAATTTAAAACCTTAATTAAGGCAACTATCATCAGCAGAATAACAAGTCAGAATTGACCAGTAGAACAACAAAGGGGCCTCTTTTTGATAATCCACCCACTCAAAATAACAAGTAAGAATTGACCAGTAGGTTTCAAAAGCATTGAAAAAAGCTAAAACCTTTACTAAAGTTCAATTACGCTTTAGCGATCGTAAAAGACACAAAGCAACTGAAACGCTAATACAGAGACGAGGAGAGAGATGATTTATGGGGGAAGAAGAAAGAAAAGGATTACACTTTTGCTTCGTGATTGTTCCAATAAGACCCAAAAATTGGAGCTTTGCCAAAGTAAACTCAATCACTGAACAATAAATATATAAGGGAGTACTTTTGGGTAGGAGAAGCCAACTCGAGAAGCACTCAAGCAGCGTAACGACGAACCAGTCACTCTTGCTGGCTCCATCTCTCTATCTAAACCAAATCCAAAGTTAAAAAAGATTCTCTTTGTAGATGAGAATCGCATCTCCACATATGTGTATTCACGATTGACGTTTGACGATTCTACAACGGACAATTCCTTCCGACCCTTATTAGATCCATGACAGACGATATCTCCTTCTTCATGCTCACTTCCTTCACCTCATTCTTCATGCTGACGAACGGCTATAATTATACATCGCTGGAGCTCTCCTGCACACTTACCTCCAATAATCTGCAAATTTATTAATAAATCGCAATATCTGGGACTATTTAACCATTGGTCAACCAATGGGCCAAAGAGACTTCCACAAAAACACTGTGGTTTAATATTAAAACTAATTAACAACCTACTTTTTTATTTTTTTTGGAAATGATTGCGAAACATAAATTAATACTCTCCAACATCTATTTTAAAACAAAATTTAAGTTTTAAAATGACACTTAATTTTAAACGAAGATAGTACTATCATTTTCTTTTCATTTGAATATAAAATCTTAATGAATTTGGATTTGTTGTTAAGTTATCTGCTTTATTTGGCATATGATAAAAACAAAGTATCATCGGTCATGGCTTACGTGACACAAAACCAATCAACTTCTATTGGTCTTTTGGCTTTATGTACATGTAGTTACTAGGTAAGTATCCCATGCGCGGGGATAATACTTTCTTCTTCAAAAAGAAATTTTGTATTGCAATTTATATTTTAAGTTTTTTTTTTTTTTCATCACAAAATGTTTGATACGACATTTTTGTGGAAAATGGCAATGACAATTGACAAAACATGGTCCTGTGAGAAATTCTGTCAAATGGTTCTCCATGACTTGAAACACTCATTTGAGATTTTTTTTCTTTTCAATTTTGATTTTAAGATGGCCTAGAAAATTTAATTCGAATTCTGTGTATCATCCCATCCTTTGGGAACCAAACACTCTTTCCCAAAAGAAGTACAGCCTATATAATTAACACCACAATAAATGGGCATTTTGTTACGTGTATCCCAATCAATAAAATAAAAGTTCAACAAAATGTCTAGTAACGTTTATATCTCGACATTGTCCCAGTCAAACGATTTCCCTTCTAAATTGTAATCCGGGTGTTGCATTCGGTTCCTCGCCAATCTGCTCATCACCGCAAGGCCTGAGAGTATATACACAAATTATCAGATCAAGAAACTTCAACATTTCTTTAACATCGTATCAGAATCTTAAGAATAAAGTTACCTTCGACCATTTTGTAAAGAGATGGCCACCAACGCTCTCTAGAGATGTCACTTTGGTTAAGAGACTCTTCAATCTCTTTATCGTGTTTCCCTTCAAGAACACTGCGTAGAGTGACGACGGCGTCCTTTGTTTTTTTCAAAATACTGTTACCATCTTCGATTTCAAGGCTTTGAAGGTCGTTGTGAGATGAAGTGAGGCTCACAGCCAAAGCAAACTGAGCAGCTGCAGCCCAACGAGAAGAAGCTTGCCATTTCCTCTGACCTTCTAAAGGCTGTGAATCATCACCGTTAGCATCTCTGGTACGTTTGTTCTCAAGTGTTATACTACGTAAGTACTCCGCGTTTGCAGTTCCTGTACTTTGAACCATCTTCGAGAAAGAACTTTCTCCGTTTGAAAGAAGATTCTCCGGTGAACTGAATTCCTGAACCTGAGGTGTTGGAAATTTCAATTTATATTGGCTGAAGTCATAAAGCAGATCTCAAAAGTGGGGTTGGATTGATGCAAATAGTGTTGGAAGATGAAGTGTGCGTACTTTTCCAGAATCAAGAACAAGAACTTTGTCACAGTCAATGATAGTATTGAGACGATGAGCGATAATTAGCATCGTGCAGGACTTGAATTCTTCTCGGATGGTCTTTTGGATGAGAACATCAGTTCTAACGTCAACAGCAGCAGTTGCTTCATCAAGAACAAGTATCTTAGATCTTCGCAACAATGCACGTGCAAGACTCAACAACTGTCTCTGTCCAACACTGAAATTCTCTCCTGCCTCAGTTACCTGACCAAAAAGACCGAGTTATTACTGAACACAAGGGAATTTCTAGAGAGGAAATGTAAATTAAGTACCTCAGCATCAAGACCAAGAGGATTTCTGCGTATAGTATCTTTCAAGTGTGCCCTCTCAAGAGATTCCCAAAGATCGGCATCGTTGTGTTCACTAAATGGGTCAAGATTGAATCTCACAGTACCTACATATAAGTTATTGGCATATTATACATCATTTTGACTTTAAGAAAGATAAATACCAGAAGCAGAAGAATAAATAAAAGGACCAGAAGAAATGCGAGACATACCTGAGAAAAGAACTGGCGCTTGTGGTATAATTCCGAGCACTTTACGTAAGTCCATCAGTCCAAATCTGCCAATGTCGCATTCATCAATCAAAATCCTTCCTTTTTCCAGCTCCACAATCCGGAATAAGGCATTTAAGAGGCTTGACTTCCCAGCGCCTGTCCTTCCGACAATTCCCACCTTATCCATTGGAGAAATCAAGAATGAAACTCCATGAAGAACAGGAGGTAACTCAGGGCGGTAACGAAGAACAACATCCTCAAATTTTATGGATCCAGATGATGGCCATCCAGGAGGTGGACGGTTGTTTTCAATGATTAGTGGAGCCTCTGATGGTATCTCGATATAATTTCCAACGCGCTCAACCGAGTTTAAACTATTCTCAGCTAGACTCGCGAGTCTCAGTACAGCTGTTAAAGAGCTGGTAATACTTAACGCATAACTGAGAAGTAAACCCATCGTAGATGCATATGCTTGTTGGTTCTCTGCCTTTCCATTCTGCATGACGGCTAATGACGCAGTCAACCAAACCATGAGACCTCCCAAAACTTCCAAACGGATTCCCAGCCACCGATTTGCAGCCATGTTTACAAGTGTGAATCTGATGTTATTATCCATTGACCTTCCATTAATTTCAGCCATCCTGTCATATGCTTTATAAGCACGGATACTAGATAGTCCATTCAATGCCTCTCCAAATTGAGCATAAACGGGTGATCTTGAAGTGGAATCCATACGTTTAATTTCACGGGATGTATTCTACAATAAGGAAAAAACAGGTTATGACACAACAGATATGATTGGGACTTTTTTGGCTGACAGTTAAGATTTGAGAGCTGAAGTACCAAAGATAAGCAAACTTTTACAATCTAATGTGAAAAATGCAGAGTATAATAGAAGACTTAGGCTATCAGTGTTCCTTTTGGTCTCAGTTTTCGATGTCTCGATCTGTAGTTATGAATTTAGATAGCATTACGTTTAAATAGTATGTAGGTTACCTGGTAATACAGATAAGCTCCATAGAACACGACCAACAGGGGCATGATGGCCCACAGGGACAGCGTGCTAACAATGCCAATCAAGATAACAGTTGAAAGAAGCTGTGCGATTGAACCCATAAACATGTTTACAAAGACTGCCACAGTTCGATCAATGTCGCCCATATCTTTTGCGAATCGATTAATTATCCGTCCTAATGGATTGGTTTGAAAGAAGACCATTGGAGCCCTTAGTATGGAACCAAGCATAGCATCATGCATCTTTTTAGCTGCATATAGACTGGACATAATCAACCAATATGAATTGATCAATGTCACAGAGACCTGAAAACCAAGAAGAAATAAGTCTTAGCACAAACGTTTTGCTCTTTGTGTCCTTTTCTTTTCCATTTTGTTTTCTCGATACTTTGGCGCAGAAGAAACATGGTGTACATTTTTTCTTAACTGATCAGCCTTTACTGTTCAGTTATATATTGTTATGCGATCATGAAGATACCGACTCAAACATTTACCAAATGCAACTCATACCTGTCCAAACGAAAGAAGCGCATAGACAATATTATAGAATAGGGGTCCATGAGTCTTTGGAGTTCCTGCATCAGTCCACTCACTCAACCAAGTGCTGCTTGAAACCCGAAATACTTGAGTCAAGACGTAGCATATAAGGAGCATCATCACTACCCATGCACCTCCAAGTGCATTCTGGTACCTGGAACATGGTGACATCTCACTAGTCATTACAATGGCATTTCAATACAAAGCTTAATAAGGAAACATGAATAGAACGAGTCAAACAATATTTATCCATTTTGTAGTAAAGAAACACCACAGATAAATTGACATAATGCTGGACCAAAAAATATGCGTCTTATTTACGGATATTTCCACTGTGGATAGAAAGACATACTGCAACAACACAAAAAGAAAGAGCAAAAATCCGAATGCCAACATACCTCTCCAGGACTTTCCAACTCACAACTCCAGTTTCACGTTCTTCTCGTTTGACAAGCACAGAGTTTCCTTCTTTGGATTTCTTTGTCTCGATTCCATCCTTCTGCAGATTATTAGTGTTCCCATTTTCAACTGGTTTTACAGATGTTTGATCGACTTCAGCTTCTCCATTTTCTTCTGAATAATCTTCAACCTTCCCTGCATTTTCCATTAACCTCTGGAACAATGGGCCACTATGGCATAATTCTTCATATGTTCCTTCCTCTTTTACTGTTCCCTCATGGACAAGTAGGATTTTATCCACTTGTGATAGGAAGTGGAGCTGGTTTGTAACAAGTACTCTCGTTGTCTGCCCTATTTCTCTTTTTATGCATTTTTCAAAAACCTATATATAACCGCCAGTTTCGAACATCAGATAACAATGTTTGCTTAAAAGCAGTTATATGGGAGAGATCTGTGGCAAACAAGAAGTACATATCCATGCAGTTTGAAAAACAAAACGTTATAGAATTCACGATTTGCAAAATTGAAAAAAAACAAAGTATTGTTCTATCCAAAAGAGCCTATGGCTAGTTTACCTGCTGACCAACATGCGCATCAAGGGCACTCAATGGGTCATCTAAAATGAACACATCTGAATTTGAGTAAACGGCCCTAGCCATAGAAACCCTCTGCTTTTGTCCCCCACTGATGTTAACACCCCTTTCACCAATCTCCGTGAGGTCACCACCCTATCGATCAAGAGAAAGAAGAGGAAACAAGCTTAGATACCTGGGAACTAGAAAACAGAAGTCAATGCTATCAACGGAACTGACGTAATTCAGTTTTTTCAATTTACATCGCACCAACAAATTTCAAGGTTCGTTTCACCTTAGGAAAATTTTAATGTACATGGTAAAGGAAATCTCCACAAAACTTACAGGCAGTAACTCAAGGTCATGCTGCAGTGCTGTCACATCAATCACCCTTTCATATTTTTCTTGGTCAAAAGGAGCCCCAAACAATATATTGTCACGTACCTACACAATGTAAATTACAACCATCAGCATGCGGACGTATTTAAAAGCACACACCATTATATGCAAAACATATAATACATACAAAATAATTAACATTCCAAGAGGATAATTTGACATTTTCGCAGTGAGAACCATACTATAAACACAACAGCATATATAAACTTACTGTTGCGTTAAAGATCCATGAAACTTGTGGAACATAAGCGACTGATCCTCTAAGAATAACTGTAGCATCAGATCTTGCAGGAAGTTCCCCAAGCATAGCAGATATCAGGGAGGTTTTTCCTTCTCCTGTGCTGCCAACTACCGCAACTAGGCTGCCAAGAGGTATGTCCAGGTTGATATTTGACAAGGTTGGCCTATCCGCCTGCATATGTATACTTATAGCTCACTTTTTGTACTTCAATGACAATATATAATGACAGAAGCTAATAGACGTAAGAACATGGGATAAAATAGACAAAGAAGACCTTTGAATCCCAGGAGAAGTATCCATTTCTTATTGAGATAGCTGGCTGTCCAGGTTCAATGGGAGGATTCGGTAAGAGAACTCTCTCTTCTGTCGATAGTACCTCCTCCAAACGGTTTAAGGATACATTAGCATTTACCATCTACAAAAGTAAAACCAGGTCAGCATCTGCAAAAGAATTATGAAAATGACTGGTCTAAAAAAAGAGGGAGAGATGGAAAATAAAAAGAACAACTAGAAACAATAATTACCACTGATGCCACATTATTCAATACTGAACATGATAACATGGTTCAAGAAACATTTTAAGGAAATCACCTGAGTTATAATGTTTGGAAGCATGAACAAAGGGAAGCGAAGCACAGAAAATAGAGAAAGTGACGTAAACGCTCTTGCAGGTGTCAGATCTCCTCCAAGCAATGAGAACACACCAAATGAAACAACAGTCACGAGGACAGGAATGCTGTTTAGAATGAACATATTGAACTGCAGAACAAATAGACAACCATGAATGAGTCAGAAATTTACCATGACAAGAGGAAATCGAAATACATTAATGCAATATAGGTTAAAGAACGTGCATGAATGCTGCTAACATGGCCGCAACAACTGAAACAATGTTCACTGAACTAGAAAAAAGTACAACAAATGCCCTAAACACATCTTCATGAATACCACTCTCAAAATGGTCAAAGGCATTTAATTAGACGAGCAGCTTGGATTTGTCCATGTATACAACCATACTGTTAGGAGGGCAACAAGTAAATGACCAAGACAACTAAGAAAACTATGCACACCATGCATATGGTCTATATAAGAAATTAATATAGTAGTCACTGCGCTCAAGCCATACCGCTGACAGAAGTTGTGCTTTCCGGAACCAAGATAATTCATCATCACGTACAGTTTGAACCTTGGACTGAAAACTGTTTTCCCAAGCATAGCACCTACAGTATTTTGGTTTAGTGAGTTAAACATTGCCTCAAACTTCCAATATGCAAATAATAAATATCAGGTTCCAGTCTTCCAAAGTATCGTACTTCACTGTATCCATTGCGGCTAAAACCTCGTTCATTAGGCCAATTCTCTTGTCAGTACGCTGCAACCCTTCTTTTGTTAATTTCTGCGTCTTGCTTATAATAATAGTCTGGTTCAACAAAATAAAACAAGAAAACGAAAATGAGGAGAGAAGCCGAGAAAATTGGGAAACAAATGAGACGTAAGCACTCAAAAGCAAAACAACCAACAGAGCAAAGAGCATGCGGGAATATAAAGATATACGAACCTGTATAGGGAACATAAGGACAAGAAACAATGCACCGATGATCGAGGCAACACCCAATTGTTGGTAAAGGAGAACCAGCGCTACTATTATACGAAATGGCGCCGACCACATGGTATGAAGTGATTGGCAGATTTGCTGTCACAGACAGGAGAAACTTTAGAAAAAATAACAGCTATCAGCTAGATAAACACTTGATTTCAAGCCAAAGCTAAGATAAAAGCACTCTCCAAAGGGTTTTTTCCTACAAATCAAGCAAATTAAAGGCTTATTGGCTAACAAAGGAAAATCCAACTCCTACAACGGCAACAAAAGAACAAGGGTGCTGAAAATGAATCACAACTCTTAGATGTTTGACAAAAAAAAAAATTAAAAAAAAAAAAAAAACAACTCTTAGATTCCTTGTAATTTACTTACAGGAATAGGATTATCTTGGTGCATTTAAGACTCATATTTTGAGGTAGATATACAACTATGCAGTGTAAATTAATATCGAGAAACAGACAAGGCGAAAGAGAGAAAAGGTAACAAAGATATACACCTGCAGCGACTCAGCATCAGTCGTCATTAAGTTTGTTATTTTTCCTGTTTGAAACTTCTTCCGCCCTTCATTAGTTAGCCTCAGCGATTTTCGGAACACAGCAGCAATCTATAAAGGGAGGAAGTCATCAGCAGAAAGAAGCAATCTATAAGCATCTGCTATAGCTTTCCACAGACATATCAGCACACGTTTTGCATCAAAACATGAGAAGCAGAGCAGAAAGAAAACTAAGTAGCAAAAGATAATTGATGTGAAACTTCATCTTACCAGTGCAGACCTAAGCCGGTAACCAACACGCATCACATTTTGGAAGTACTGAGCTTCACATAGAACCCCCAATACCTGAAAATGTCAAAATCAACATCAACATCAAGCGATTAAGGAGTCCATGGGTCAAGTCCCACCCCAAACTACATTAAACAAAACATCTTCAAAACATGCAATAGTACTAAGTACTAACCTACAAAAACAACTAACTCCAAGATTAGAATCAGGCTATTTCAAATACAAGAATCACATAGAGATTACACCCAGCTTAAAATATTTAAACTGGTCCTACAATTCGTAGCATCTATTCTAGATCAAAAATACCATGAAGTCCGTCCTAGCAAGAGAGAAAAGAGTCCAAGGAAAGTAGAGTTTTATTTTATCCTTTGAAGTCCATGCAAGAGAATAAAAAAGGCAGCAAAGAGAAAAAAGAATTTGTTGCATACCACTCCAACAAAGATTGAGATTGCATAGATGTAACCTATCCACGCTGGTTCATTAAGTTGCATTGACTGCAGAAAGTTAAATGGGACATAGTGAGAGATATCGTCAGACATAATATTCAAAGGATGATAGGATTTTCAATTTTGAATCTATCAAGAATGTTTAAACACTTATTTTAGTCAGTAGGAATACGAATCCATCTCAACGATCCACGTGAATGGAAAAATTACAAAGCATTGTGTTAAATAGGTTCAAGCACAATGTGCACTGGGTAGAAAGAGGTAAAGGAACTAACCTTTAAGAGCTCATTCAGTAGAAGAGGCCCCACGAACTGTGAACAGTCATTCCCAATCTATGATACAATTTAGTTGAATTGTCAAGATTTACTAAACACACCATTTAGGAAATATAAGACCTCCGAAGCCATCAATATTATCAAATAGACAAGAAAAAGACTGTTGCAGAACAAAGAAAAAACACAACAAAAAGAAACAAAAGTACCTTCCAGAAGCCACCCCACCAAAACCTACAAAATGCAGAAACAGGTTTCTATAAGACAGACAGTCCTTAAGGATGAAAAATATCTATGGCAGATTATGACCAGAAAAGTAACACATCTCTTATTCAACTCGACATGCATCAAAACATACTTGAAGTGGCAGCCATAACTCTTCTAGTTATTCATAATGCATATAGTATTACAACCACATGCTTCCTTTTACAAATCACACATCAAGTCGAAGCCCAAACATTAAATCCATATTCCAAAGAGATGAGAACACATGACTGTAAAAATGTTTCTCTTTACCTTCCCCCAAGGCTGTTGTTCAGTGCTCTCAAAAGCCAAGGTTTGGGCTTTTCTAGTTCCTTATCCCAGGACCTCTGGAAGCTAAAAAAGGAGATAAAAATATATCACGCAACCAATAGTCATAGACTGTATGAGAACAGTTATTATTTATCAAAAAATATACCTCCTCATGAGAGTTTCAGTTTTATCCCAAGTGTCCAGATGCCATACATCCTTCTCCGTGAGAGGCCGTTTTGATCCCAGAGTCATCAATGGATTCAACCATGAGAAGAATATACCTGTGGGTAAAAAAAAGAGTAAGAAGGTACATCATAGTCAAAGTTTAACATATGTTGACGAATATACTATATGAAATGTTACAGCTTAGTCGAAGTGATAATCACTAAGCCAAAACTTCGGCACAGTCACAATCCAGTTTCCTAAGCTCATTTCTAGGTAGAATGGGAAGAAAGTCAAAAAGTAATTGAAGAGTCTATAGAAAACTCTCTGTCTTAAATGCGGAAACAATTCTAATGACTGCTTACTAACTATTAGCACTCCATAAGAAATTTACAGTTCCAGGAAATATTTAAGCTCTAAAGAAATAACCAACTTAGATAGGTAGTAAGTGCAGAAAAGTGATCAAAGATGCTGTGGCGATTCTCACAATAAAAATAGAAATGCATCTACATAAACTAATCCAACTGGGGGGGATAAGAAGGGTAGAGTTACATACTGTCAAATAAATTTGCATGCCTCTCAGGACATATATTTTCTCCTCCAGGAAGCTCTTCATACTCGTAATCCTCTGAAGTTTCAGTCCCAACTGGTGTGTAACCAGGGTAAGGATCCAAATTAGGGAAATACACAAATAAGAGAGTTCCAAATGCGACCTGGATCCAAAAGCCACCCTCAACGTCATTATCAAAACAAAGTTGTATCATCTATAGTCTGATTTAGATACAGCTCATGGTAAATAGCAGTGTAGAGAATGCAAAAAGGAGTGTAAATATGCAAACCTGAACTGCCACCTCGCTTATGTAAAGATACAGTTTAAAACTGCAAAAAAAAAAAAAAAACATGAAGCATATAAGTTCATCGTGCCAGACCAGGGAAACAAAATTGCATAAACCATATAGACTGCAAATTTACCAACCTGCCATAGTACTCCTTCACAGAGAGAACAAGATTTAACAACACCATGTCTCCGACAAGAGCATAAATGACAGCGAATCTAACATACCAACGGAGTTCATGGATATATGTTTTAGTTTCCACAACAGTCATGACCAATGCAGAACCCCAAGCAAAAGCCTCAAGGACCAGCATGAACGCCTGCCAAAGAAAGCACAAAACAACAGCATCTTTCAGGCAAAACATAGAGAACAAGAACAACAAAGAAAGCAAAAGCAAGTGATAACACACCTCATACGGAGGAAACCCAGCTCCATCCAAATCCAAAACAGAGATCCTCATGACCAATCTAAACAAAGGCTCAGCAGTACCATAAGCAGCCAAAAGAGCCAGGAAATAGTTATACAATTTAGACCTCAAGCAGAACTTATCCACTTTGTGATCCTTTGTGATGAGCCATAACCGATAAAGACACAGAATCAACAGAACAAGATGAGAGATACCAAGCACAAAAGAGTCAATAGCACAAGGCGTGTATGCACCAAATGCATAATCCACTGTTTTTGTCCACACACCATTCGGCACCGGCTTGCAATACCAATCCAACGGCTCAAAACCCATCTTCTTCCTCCTCAATAACAAAAAAAAATCCCCCGCTTCAAAGTTTTACCCCTTCAAAGACTACACATCACTAATAACTCCCAATCCTCTAATCTGCAAGTAAGAAGTATAAATAATGGAGCATCAGAAACAGAAGAAGAAAAAGAAACCAATTATTATGTGGTTATGAACTCAATGAAGACAAACGGAGAAGGAAACAAAAACGAAAACGATGTGGATAGATTATTGAGAGACAAAAATAAAAAAGCTGGAAAAAGCTTTCTATCATTTTAGTGGAGAGAAAACTTTTTATCCCAAAAAGGAAGAACAGAGACAAGCACCAAAAAAGTTAGCTCATCTCCAATAAACATAGATTCTCATGAAACCCAGGAGAAATCAGAACCCGCGAAAACCACGTAACAAGAACGAAATCGATTCGATTGATAAGATTCAGTGCTTGTTGAAGACAAAAAGGACAAAACGAAACCTCTGGGAGTCAAAGGAGAGGTAAGAGTGCAATTTCGCCGGATAAATCAGGAAGACGTTAACGGAATCTTATGAACTCATTTCGGCCGGAGAAAAGGTGGCTGATGGCTCTCTCAGAGAAGAAGATTTGGGATTTGTAGGGAGAAGATCGATACGTCACTGCTTACACTACATGAAGAAGATCCATCCATATATATGGAGAGAGAGAGAGAGAGAGAGAGAGAGAGAGAGAGGCCGAAAAGTCAATAACACATTCATAAGAGTAAAACAATCACTACCTTTTTTTTTAATTTACAAACACCAAAAATAAATAGTGTCAATTAGGTAAATAACTATAATTTTTTCCTATATTAGGCAAAATAACTATAAAGTTTGTTATTTATTTGCAACAGATATTTTAATTATGATGATATCCCTCTAAATGATTATATAATGACTATATCCATTTTTTAGTTTATAATTATTTATCTAATCTAATTAAAAATTTATAGTTATTCAATATGAATATTGAATACCCAACCAAAAAAAATAAAGAAAAAATAAAAATGTGGATCATGTAAAGTAATTAGAATAATGTTTACGAACCAATTATGCAAACATTTTTATTTGATATATTTGTTAGGCAAATTCGAATCAACTTATCAAGTATATATCTAATATCTGTTCAATTATCTTCTAATTTTGATTGTAAGTACTTTTAATCTTACGTAGCTATCCAATGAAATCATGTTGTTTACGAAAATATTTTTTTTTCAACAAAAAAAAAAGTTCATGTTCATCAAGAAACTATAAGTATAGTAGATGAAAGAACGACTTTTCTTCATCCTATACAGTACTATTAGTTATGAACCTGAATATTATATAAGAACAATTGTTAAAAATTATATTTGACAAAAAAATATTATAAAAATATGATGTTATTAAGTTGATAATTAGAATTGAATATGCATGATGACACGAGAACGATATTGATACAAAAATCATTAAGCTACAAAGCAGGGCCGGCGTTGAGGGGGTGCAAGGGAAGCAAATGTACCGGGCCAAATTTTTTTTGGATAAATTTAAGGGTTTAATTTTTTTTTTTTTTTTTAAATGATAATTTTTAAGATTTTAAGGTAATTTTAGTATGTAAAGACCCAAATATATATTTTTAGTATGAAAAAGACCAATTTTAAAGATTTTTTTAACATAAAAAAGGCCAAAAAAAAAAAAATTCTATAAAGAAATGGTCAATTTTTAAGATTTGTACAGGGACTCTAAATTAATTGAGCCGGCCCTGCTACAAACCTTGATCAGTATAATAAAAGTATGATTAAATAATATAAATCCAATTCCAGAGAAATGCTAATTGTAAAAAAAGAAGAAGCTACCTGAATATAACAACAACAAAGACGGATTATCGATGAAACTATCACACCTTACTTTGGTCACAATGCACTAAGTCGTCGAGATTCATAAATCATAACATTAACAATGGCTCTTAGCTAAGAAACCTTTCTTACCAATTTTACTATTGGCCATTTAATTAAATATTTTTTAATACTTAAAATTTATCTAAGATTTGGCTAAGAGCCTACCAATAATTATGGTCTAAGAAACAAACAAGTTTGTGAAGCTTTTTTTTTTTTTTTGTCTCTTCTTGGGGTTGTCAAATACTGTATTACCAAGGTGGGTGACCACGTTCAGATATTTTGTTTTTATATTCGATCAATTAGATACGATAAAGTACAAAACTAATAAATACTAGTATTTTTTGTTTTTGTCTCAGTTTAGACTAATTCAAAACTTAACAAGATTTGATCAGATGGTACAAATAATACAAGATTTGACGAGTGGAAGTGTTTTTTTTTTTTTTGGTCAACTTGGCTTTCTCTTTTTTTTGCAATGCCTGCTTTCGATTCCATTGGAATATGCTCGACTCAGACAAACTTTGTCTTTTTTCATTAGTATTAATTCCAAATTAACAAAAATAACATTTTTCGGATTCAATTTTAGTTGACTTATTTTTTGGATTCAAGCTTAAATTTTTATATGCATAGTTCTTCTAATCATTTCAGTTTCAAAATTTATTACTAATTAGCCAAAAGTTTTAATTCCTAGTTGAGATTCTTAGGAACGCCTCGACGTTAAATCCGTGTTTGATTCCAGATGTTCACACATGCACTATTTAACTAATTAAAGTATACTGAAATAGTACTCATTGATGCTCTCATCTCACGTACTCACGTACTCACGTACTCACGTTAATGACATGGGTCAAATACACACCGAAGTCTTTTCCATTGTTTGCTTCTACGACATGGGAACTTTAATATGATCTATAAATATACATACTTATGGCCTATGGGTCTAGCCTGGTCGGACTTATATCCTATTACAAACGTATATGAAAACTAAAACTTTAACTCTATAAAACTTGCAATAAATTGAGTAGCTTTATGAATTAACGACTATTTGACATTAATTCTGATTAAGAGAGTGTTATTGGTTTGTGATTTAAATAGAGTTTTAGTGACTTCAAATGTTATGTAGAATTTGTTGTTATTCAATCAAAAATTTTTTAAAATCTGTTAAAGTTTGGTGTTATTAGTTTAAGATTTGTAAAAAGTAATCTAAAATCTTCATAAATCTGAGTTATTAGATTCATACTTTTATAAAGTCAATAAAAGTTTTGTGTTATATAATTAAAACAAAAGAATCTATGATTGTTAATGAATTCAATTATTATGTTATTGGTTTATGACTCTCTACACTTTTCTTCACAAAATAAAGTCATGAAAAGTATCATCAAAATAGAGAGATTATTTGAAAAACTTTGCAAGATTCTGAAAAACTAATCAACAAAATTATAGAAAATTCTCTAACAATAGTTTATAATCGTTTATTTGTTTACTTTCTATGATTTTATTAAAGTTATCAAAAAAAATTTGTAAAGTATTGTGTTTATGTCGTTCACCTGCGGCTGAGTGGAGCACTAGAGTGAAGTCAGTAAACCAATAATGGAGGAGGAGACCGTGTGTGGCCTGACCATTTGATTGGGGAGAACCTGTTTTTTCTTAATGCCTATAACACCTATGTGACAGTAAGGCCTTAAATGGTAACATAACCAAAACATTCGGCCGGATTCAGCTAATTAGCAAGCTTTGAAAAAAAAAAAAAAAAAAAAAACTCAAAATTCAAAGATCCAACACAAATACCGTTTCTTCCATGCTTCGAATCTATGGACTATGGAGTATAAAAGGGAGAAAATACGATACAAACATAAAGACTTGCAAATTCCATTAGATCTCCCTCAGGTTCTTGAGATTTGTTATAACAAATTTTACAAATACAACAAATAAAAGAGCATTAATAATTTTAAATAGCACCAATTTTTTTAAGGCCAAGGACAACTCCAACACCGATGATATGCCCAACGGTGCCACAAGCCAGAGTATCCGCAAGCGTGAACCCGGCCGGGTCACCCGTCTGTAGACCCGAGTCACGTGCCTCCAACCTAAGTCCAGCTGTCGCCTTCCTATTGGCTGATGGCGCCAGTCCGAATCTCCCCGCGAACAACATCAGCGTCGTAGATGTTACCATTATCTAATCAAAGCATAATTAATCATTGCTTAAACTTATTCAATCTCCATTTAATTTTGTTTTCTCTTTAATTACCAGATTTGTTGATGAACCAATGAAGTCACCACACTTTGCACCCAAAGCTCCATTTCCCTTGCGTCTCATGGGCTGAACACTTGCCTGGGAAGATAAAAACACCATTCCAAATCATTCATTGACTTTATTTTCCAACTAATAATATTTTGCAATGTCATAAACTGGATGCTAGATTACAAATTCATTACTCTGATAAATAAATCTGTCAAGTATAACATATAAAAACCAGGATATTAAATATATAGAAGGTCAAATCACATTTTGAGAATCTAAAATGAGATTCAGAAAATTAAAAACTACTAACCAGGCCTTGAACAGGAGCAGCAGAGATCTTGGTGGCTCGAAGACCATTGAACTGAGGCAATGTAGTCATCACAGTGCTCGCCATTTTCTTAGCTGAATCTACAAATCTTTTAATTTCTTGTGCGATCGGTTTTTTTTAGTTTTTGTTTTTGCAGTTTTTTTCCTCTATACAGTCTTTAAAATGATTTAGGCAAGAATCATCGTGTGGCTTTGGTGATCACAGAAATGGATTCTGTTTAGGTTACTTCTTGCTGACACGTCAAGTGTCTATTGGTGAATTTTTAAACTCTGGATAAGGCTGTCTCATCGTCTGTCACACTGAAGATTTTCTTTCAAAACCTTTCTTGTTTGGGCTTCATGCAGGCCCATTTAAACTCGTTAAATTTCAGCACAAATAGTTGAACTAGCATTTTAGAAATATGGTCCGCTGATTTTATAGTCATAAACTAGTTGCATTCTCAGTTTTTCCCTCCTAACCTTTTTGCCCTTGAAAATTCCATCATAAATTTAAATAATTCTCACAATTGCAACATGTACTTTCGGATTCATCCTTAAAACTACGCCTCCAATTGAATCGGCCAATAAACCGGTACCACATAACCCGGTTCGATTTAATTCAAATTTAACCAAATTTAAACCTGATTTTGACCCGATCTTCTTCCTCTTCACCCGATTTTGACCAGAATTTTTTTTCTTCTTCTTCCTCTTCATGTTCCCGACTTTCTGTCTCTGGTGATGGCGATCAAACCAGAGATTTCTCCGATTCCGCTGATTGGGAGTATTGTTAAGTGTGAAACCAAAAATCATCAGCCATATCACTTCTCTCGCAGTTCTTCGTACCCATCGCAAGCTCGGTCTCGCCACTAAACTCATGACCGCCGCTCAGACTGCTTATGGAACAGGTTACTCAATTGGCGCTGTCGTCGATTGGTGCTGCTCGCCGGAGAGAAGCTCCAATGAAAACGCAAAAGCATTCTCCTTTGCTGCTGCTCCTCGCAGGATAGACGCTCCAATATCATGATTCTGAAGCCTGAAATCCACATCATATTCAATCACGATCTTCTCTTGTTTGGTTTTGTTTGGTTGGTCGAAGAGCAACGACAAAGAAACAAATCAAAACGTCGAACAATTTGCAGTCAAAGATCGATTAACAACTCATGAAATTCGAGGAGAGAAAAGAAGTAAACGAAGTAGAGATTGAAGAATAGAATCGTAAGCAAATTGGGCATGATATCGAAGAATAGAATATATATGGTAGAATAATGC